CTGAACCGTCCAGATGTACGGTTCAGCCCCAACCGGCGGGCGGCAGCCTCAAGAGCGCCGCCAGGCCCAAACGATAATGCCGTTTGGGCCTGCCCGTCGGGTATTGGTCCAAGATCAGACCTTTAGGGCCTGTAATACCCCCAAGGTCGGGCCTTTAGGCCCTGATGTGTCCTTCCGGCCCTAAGTCGGGTCCGGTAGGACCCGTGTGCGTCGAAGATGTAACATCCCAGGTAGTGCTGGTTTAAGTTCTGTTTGACATTGCAGTTATACTTGCTTTCAAATGATGAACTCTGGGGGCGTCACAATATAATTTGGCTGTTTTCTTCTAAAAAAAATTTCCAGTTTTTGTTTTTGTTTGAACTTTTAACTTTATTTCTTTTTCCAACTTTGCCATTGAGATTCTACTGCTGCACAAGCGCAGCCGCGTTGTAGCTCGCTGGCACTCACGCGCTCACGGGCGAGCAGGAAGGAGCAGGCAGCCATAGCCGAGCTGCGCCGCTGTAAGCTGGGTGTGGCGCAGGGTGGTCCTTGGGTGCATGTGGCATCTGTGTGTTGGGGAACGAGGTTGTGAGTGAAGCGAGAGACATACCTGGTGCTGGAAGCGAGCGGCATTGGCCGCTATCTGCTCGTACTTCGGGAGAGCTGTTGTCGTCATCTTCGGCATTGTAGTATAGGCTAGATAGGGTCTGCCATCTGTAGTCTGGGCGCCGAGCGCCAGATAGGATATCAACATTGGTTCTTCGTTGATGATGATGATGGGACTATTTCAGCATTGTCAATTATGAGCTCTCGGTGTGTTCTTATTTGGTGAAACTCGTGATGCAATTCTGCTGTTGGTTCGAGGTCACGACTATCTGGTCTTACGTGTATGATGCTGTTTGATTGCTGAAGTTCGCTATTGCTCATCTTCCTTGCACTACACCAGAGTTCATGAATAACTGGTTGCAATTCCCATCTCATTCAATGGAGCAAGAATCATAGCACAAGAGACATTTAACACCCTCCAATGTTCAAGATTGATGCTTTGAAAGTGTAAACATATCAGTGCTTTAGCAAAAGGTAACACAATCTTTCCAGATAATATCTATTTTTTCCGCTCATGTGATTCAGAACACAATGATCAAGGTATCGGAAGATTCCGAACATATGTCAAATAAGGCATTCTCGTATACACAGGGTCGCGCAAATGACAGGTTAAAGCTTCTCATTTGATATGAAAGGGTGGAGAGAAAGAGATGGAGACGCCGAGAGAAAGGGGAGGAAGAAAGGTACACAGAGAGAAGGAGAAGGAGAGAAGACTTTGGTGTGGGGGAGCTGAGAG